CCCCAAAACCCCAAAACCCCAAAACCCCAAAACCCCAAGATAATTAATCATATTTGAAACCTCCAATTTGATAAATGGGGTTTTAAGAAGAAGCTTTCTCTACAGTTAGACCCTTCAGTATAAGAAGTCATTAAAGGGTGAATAAATATTGAATATTACTACCCTAGCTATTTTAGTGATTACCTGAAGAATTTGCCATCTAAATTTTCTATGTTCAAGTATGGATCAAAAATAGTCAACGAATAAAAACTCAGACTCATAGGAGACTCCTTTCACTCTAAGTATCTTTGTTCTTAACTAAAAATAGTTTGGTTTTGGCGTTCGTGATAAAAAATTTGGCCGTAATCAAACTCTCAACACTTTCGCATGAATTTTACTAAATCCAGAATTCTTCAAAACGAGCAGATTCGAATAATTGTTGCGAGGAATTGTTCGCTTCATTCATTCGCAACTCTGGTAAAAAGCTTTCAGGGTTTCTCCAAGTAAGACTAAGAACAAACTTATCAGGATTGGTTATTGAATATTAATCCTAGTTTTAACTGTCTTAAAGCATCTCGTGTTTGCAATTATGATCCCTCTTCTAATATTTATTTATCTAGGAATTGATTCCTTAAAATTTCTTACCTTCGACATTAAAGGAGATGAGCAAGAAGAAATTAGTATCTGAAGAACCATTATCGGAACCCTTCAATCTCTTAATGCCCACCTTCAGCAATTTCGAAGTGAGTAAGACTTCCTAAGCCTTATGGTATATTTCTTAATTAGTGCTTCTTCGATTTCTGAGTTAGCTTAGTGGAAATTATTCAGAAGCCAGACCAAGAAATTTGAGAGATAAAACTTTAAAACTCAATATTGAACTGGAGCCGCTTTAACACTTAATCTGATTACTTTATGAATATTGGATAGCTAGAAAAAATACCAATTTAGGGTAAAATATTTGCAATTTCAAAATTTTACCAATATTATTGATTAAGTGAAGGAACTGACTGAGCAGAGATTCTTCAATGAGCCTCATAAATAGTAAAACTGAGTTTGAAAGGGTTGAGCAATAATAGAACAGGAATAAGACTCTCTTTATCCTTAGAGATATCTAGGAATTTTACAACTTTTCATAAACTGAAGCTCGTTACTACTTCTATAATACCAAACTTTAGAAGACTCTGGAATCTTCTCAACAATAAGGGATCCTTTTAATGATAGAAGAACTCAGAAGATAACACTTTATTGTTATAAACAGCAAATAGATCATTTAAGTAAGCTAATGAAAATGAGCTCTTGTATAAAATACTCTTTAATTTTTGATTAGTACTTGACAGATACATAAACTGAAGGTTACAACACCAAGCCATAAATCTGCACTTGTTAAGATCTTCGCTTAGCCCCTCTAAAGCTTGGAATAAACTTTTACAAATTTAGAGCTTTACAAAGAGTATATCTATCTCATCTATGGAGCCAAAGAGGATTAAGAATCAATAAAATTTAATAAAAGTGTTATAATTTAGGATCATGAATCACTCATTAGATTTTATTATTTAAGAAGCCTAGCTGAAATCTTACATTCACTATCATGAAGTCGAGAATGAACTCTGCAGGTTAGTTTCAAGTAAATATGCTGACAAATCAGACTTCTGTGGTACCAGAAGTCTTTTCTGAAGCTAAAGTTGTCCATTTCGAACCCTTTGATAAAATAAATGAAAACTTCATATTACTACTCTTTTGGACTAGAATCAGCTCTCTCCAATAAATAATGGCTGAAGCTATGAATGCTCGTAACATATGCGTAGATGGAAGGCACGAACTCTCTAGAGCAAGGGATCTATGAAATCATACGTATCACATATTGGATCATACTTCTGAAAGTTAAGTAATGCATAAATAATTTTGATTCTTAAATTTGTTCAAAAATATTTGAGTTAGACGCCACTTAAGTTTGAATACTTTACAGTTTGACAAAGCATTATAAACTTTATATCTGACGTTGATAAGTCTCTAGTTATAAATGGATTACTATATATCAAGACTTGACATATAGCAACAAGCCAAAGCTTTGATTTGTAGAAAAGTTCTTTACTCGGAAATCCCGTTTGAAAGCAAACTTAAATTATACCTAACATCAAAATTTCATATCAACATGCTTCTAGAAAATAGAGAAATTACCTGTTTGAGACGCGACAAACTTACTTAAAATAATATTAAAGAAAAAGAATCAGACTAGACTGAAAGCTCCAATTTATTTCCCATTTCTTACTAATCCGATAGTTTAACATGAAAATCTGATATGATCATCTAAAAGTACTTAGAGAGATTTTAATGCTCCCAGTAAACCTTAGCAATATGAATATTCCAGAGACTTATGTTTAAGTTGGATAACCTTTAAGAAAGCCAGTAAGCACTAGCTGGTGGAACCTGAGGCTCTTCCAAAATATTAGAGCTTCAATTAACTTACCCACAAGTTGGCAATCGAATCAGGTAACTTTGAACATATTAAATGATCTGAACTGTACTTACCAAAAATTCTAATTGGTGTATACAATGTGGAACTCTTTGAGAAAACTCCACCTCACCCTCCTCAAAGCAAGAAAATAGAGGCTAATAGGTAAGACAATCCTCATAATGATTATCGAAAGCATGAATTATGATTCTTAAATATGTTTATGAGTTATTTAGGAAAAGAAGTACTTGTTCATCTGAAATATGTCAATTACAAGTCAACCAGGTGCTCAAAATACAGCTCAAATATTGAATAAAAAGCCTTCAGCATCAAGAAAGTTGAAGAGAATCATTAAAACAAATTTTTATTCTTATAGTAACCTGAACAAGTCGATGCAATGTTTTTGCTTCTTTTCTGTGTGTTTCAGCTCCAACTGATGTCTAAACTTGCTCAGGTCTTCATCAATGCTGCAGAAACAGAACTTGTCCGCACTCATTGCAAACTGGTGAGCTGAAGCATCCCATTGTGTCATATGTGGAATTTGAATCTAGAAAGAAAGTTAGGAATGCTTATGTTGACAAAGTGTCGAAAGCAACAATTCTGTAACCGACTTTATCGAAATTTACAACAGAAATAGGGAAATTTTAAGTAAAATATTAGCATTTCGTTGCTGACTTAAGCAAAGATAGGAGACCTTAGCACACGAAATGGTCTACTTTGCTTTAAACTTGATTAGTATACCAGCAACAACACGAATCTTGTTTAACTAGGTCGCAGTTTTGGAAGAATTTTAAATGAAGGTCTGATTATCTAAGAAGGTAAAATTCTCACTGTAATTATTAAAACTAAGTGCAATATTCCTGACATCGGGAAGCAAAGTTCAGGCACTCTAAGAGTACAAAATCATGAATAAATCATTTCAGTGATATTATAACACCATTTTTCGTCTGAATAACTATTAAATACTAGTAACATTAGCAGAAAACCTCTTCGAAATATATGGCCTAGACATTGAAATGAAGGCCATTTCTCAAGGGCTGTTGAGGACATGAACAGGCAGATTCAAAGCCACCCTCACAATTTTAATTAAAAACCTAGCCTAACTTTTACTTAAAATCCTTGCTCATAATTTATATGAAGGCCATGAGCTTTCCAAGGCAAATTTAACCTATAAAAAAACACGAAATATCTGGTAAAATTTAAGGAAGAACTATTTTTCTGAAAATTTGATTGATGATATTAAGTCTCTCAATTGAAATAAGATTTTCATAAGTGAAATTTTTAACAACAGAAGCAAAGAATCGACTGGAGTTTATTATATGTAAAGAATTTAAAGCATACTCGGGAGAGACAGATAAGTACGGAGTTCGTCCAATGAACCCTGCCTTGTAATCAATTTTAGGAGCTTTGTGATGTTCAGGATCTAATGATGCTAGACTTTCGAATAATAACTAGTTTTACTTCGGGTTTAACGTCACTGTTTTAGAAATTGATAAAAATTGTGGTAAACACGATAATTATTGTCTCTTCAGTTGAGTAAAGAGAAGTTACAATTATTGCAAGCCATAAGGTTTAGGACCGATAGGTCATCAACCATTAGCAAGTAAGAAGAAATTTAAGCAATGACGTACCTCAAGGCCAGGTTGAATGGATCTTTGGTAATTTAGCAGGGAAGAGTTTAAAGCAGATCTCCTTCTCTTTGCTTTGAGTAGCTTCGATTCATCAATCAATGAAGAGTGTCTCTAAACCGTTGTAAGAATTTCAAATAAAACTAGATGGTATAGGATTTTAACCTTGATTGGCAAATTGCAGTTTGAAATATTCAAAAGATGGTTCTAAATGGCTTTTGTATTTGAATAGTAACATATTCTGGGAATAATAGCTAATGATCAGGCTTAAGCCCAATTGGGATCACACATCATGGAGGCTAACTCTCTAAATGGTTAACCTTGATTATTGGCATCTTTAATCAAAATTCACTTAGATAAGCTTTCAGATTTAGCCCTACCTTTCTCGCATTTGTAAACCAGTTCGATATTTGTTTGGCAGTCAGTTGAGTAGCCTCTGCGAGTTGGTACTTCTCGTCTTCAGTCGGATAAGGGTTGTCTCTGTGCTCCCTGATCCAGTCAACAAGAATGGACTTCTTCTGCTTCTCGATATTCTTAATACCAGTTCTGTTGCCTGGCTTTTTAGAAAGATTTTGGGTGAAGTTGTTCATGAATATTAATTATTATCATCAGTGTCAACCCCAATATATTGCTTAGGGGTTTTGGGGTTTTGGGGTTTTGGGGTTTTGGGG